TTTCAAAAATTTCTATATTTTTCGGAGTCCGACTTCAAAATTTGCCTTTGTTTACAAACAAAGATTTGTTTATTTACATTTTCAATGTTTATTTACATTTTTCTTTTGTTTATTTACATTTTCAATGTTTATTTACAAAAATTTTCAAAATTTTATAAAAATTTTGACGGCCGGTTTTAGAAATTTCGTTTGTTTGCAAACAAAGGTATGTTTATTTACATTTTTTGTTGTTTATTTTGAGAAAATTCTTGGAAATGACGTCACATTCCTGGAATTTTCGAAATTTTCTTAAATTTAAGTTACTTACTTGTTTTATACTTACCTTTTATATACTTACCTTTTACTTACCTCTTTAAATTGCCATGTTTTCTGGAACTATTCATTTTTTAATCATTTTACTTAATTCTAAATATAGATCTAAATTTATGTATTTACTTTTGCTTGTTTTTTAACTCTTCTTACTTCTATTTTTTACGATACTCAATGTTTTTAATAGAGATACTTATTATTTACGTAGTTATTTTTTTTCAATTGTTTGTTTTATAATATTGAAAGTTTTTTATAGTTTTTTTAATATTAAAGATTTTTACTGTAAGATAATATAACACATAAAGATGGTAAAGACATTAAGAGAATATAGCAAATATAGGAATACTAATGACATTTGCATACTTACATCTTATAGCTGCTATTTTTTTATACATAATGTTTTTTTATTATATTTTTACAGAGAGGATTCAAAAAAAAACAAACTGGGATAAGTAAATTTAAAAATGTTTAATTTATTTAAAAATCAATATATCTCACATGATATGAATGAAATATTCTTGTCTAAACGCAACGCAATTTGTTCTTGCTATTGCAATCGATATTTTTAATAACAAAAGTAAAATTTTCAAAGCATCTTATTAATTTGATAATTTTAATCAAACTATAAAACACGAACATTCATTAATTTTCGAAAATGAATCGCATTCACAAAATGCAATGAAAATTTAATAAATAGGACAATACAATGCACAGTTATCCTTTCTTTAATAACTGTGCGCCATGAAACCGATATTTATTTCTTTATCTAATCGCACTAAGAAAAATTTAGATAAGAGTACTTTATTTCTAGAGTTTAAGATCGTGCACTATACATAGACTCTGGTACGATGCTGGTACTTGGAATCCGCTCTAAAATCCTCGTCTATTTCTTACGAAGCAAAAATCGAAGATTTCTTGACCCTTGATCGAAGAAGCAAATAAATATATGAGTAAAATAAATAAGTAAAAAAAAAAAAACAAAAAATTGAAAATAAAAAGTAAAAAAATAAGTCATTAATTTTCTTGATAAAAAATTAATCGATCTTTCCTTATCAAATGAACCATGAAATTTGTCCCTCCAATGATGTAATCGATCCTCACAGCTACGCAGATCGCCTTCTCGCCAAGAGTTGGTATCGTCTTCATGGTAGGCCGCACTCACTTATCACGCGCGATTAATTTATTCCTGCACATTTTCAGTCACAGAGAAAATCGATTATCACCCTTGAAATTACCACAGCCTCTCGCTCTTTCGATTCTCGGGAGGAAGGAAAAATAAGATCGAAACGAGCACGATGATGAATTTTTACTCGAAATACTTTACTTGAAATATCCGATTCCCGCGCGTATTTTCATTTCTCAGATTCTCAAAAAAGAATAAACAAAAGTGGGAAAAGGAATACATGCACACGCGCATACACACGCGGTAATTTTTAATTTCTCGAAATATCCAATATCTCTCACGATTAATTTATACGATGCAGATTCGTTTCCCAGAATCCCTCGACTTTTTTCCCCCGAGGAGGAACTCGTTGACCGCTCTACACCTTTTGCCATTTCTTACTATTCTTGCTATCCGTACCCCGGTGGCATCGCGCGACCGATGCGGAGCGGATTCTCGCAACCGCGAGCGCAAACCGAGCAGCGTTTGAAAAATGTCGTTTGCGGAGTACGGCCAGGGCCGTATCCGTGTGCCGTTCGTCGACCTGTCGACACATATAGGGAACGAAAAATGGTGGACACGAGAATAGACGGGTTTCTGCGGCTTTGAAACGCGAAGGGGGAAAGCGTGCAGCGAGAATGATCGCGAGAAGCGGGTAATTCCAAACCGGAGAATTATTCTGAGTAAACGGAAAAATGGTTGGACACCTAGTCGTTTCTCCCATCCATGAGGGGAAAAACGTTAGATCTCATCTCTATTTAGAAAAATTATTCGATAATTATTCGATAAGGTGTAGCTACTTCGTTCTTCGAAGAAGTTCCATCCATCGATCATTGTGTCCGTAGACCTTCGAATTTATATGGTGAGGACAAGTCTTTGTCGAGGTAGAAAAAAGACCTTTTACTGGTACAGTGGTACACTGTTGGAAAATTCTTTGTTAATCCGATAATAAATGGGACTATTGAAATTTTTATTGTGTATTTGAAAATTAGTTGGATATAATAAAAGTTGTATTGTAAAATTTACTTTGAAATTACTTTAAAATTTACAATATTCGATTGTACAGATAAAAATGTTTGAAAATGTATAGATCCTCCTTTGTCTCGAATTCCTTTGAAAATACTTAATAACTTAGGTAAAGGTTTCTAAATTTTAAGAATTTTGTAAAATTTTACAGTTTATAGAAATTATCGTATTATTACAATCTTCCATTTTTGAGGATTTTCGGAAATTTTAATTCTTTTTAGAAATATTTAAACATAAATTTAAAGTAATGTTTTTGATTTTAATATCTTGTGTTTCTTATTAATCTTCTCTTCCGTGCTTCGATCACTTTTTTACATCTGTCTCAATTGCGTATAAAATACGGGACAATGACTCTTCTTTATTTTCGTAACAGTGTACCCGCATTCTCACCTATACAAAGTCTACGTCTGGCAGCATTTATGGTCGTAAGGTAACGAGTACAGTGCAATAAGAGTCTACAAGTTCAGACCAGATAGCGACACCGACGACGCAATTAATTAAATCCATGATAAGAACTCGGAGGACATATATATTACTAACACGTGCCAAAAATCTGATGTAATCTTCATGAATTACTCTATTTAAAAAGGTTATCGTTTTTTCGAACGAAAATTAAAATTAATAGAATGATTGCAATTCTCATTCTCTCTCTTTCTCTCTCTTTAAAATTTTTTTTTTAATTAAATAATCAATAATTCTTTGACAAAATTTTGCTAACTTTCATATAATATTTTCCAATCGTTTGCGTAATTTTATCCATTCTGCTCTTCCCCATGCGTCCTTCATGACGCATATATGGAATGGACGCACATGAATAGTGTATAAAATAATGCACAGATTCGATGCAAATTCAATGTGAATTTAAGACGAATAACGATATGAAAGATAAAGAAAAAAAAGTCTTGAAAAGATTCTTGGAAATTCGATGTAAAACAATTAACGAGATAAATATAGATTCATATCTTTATTTATACTATAAATGGAGAAATATTTATTTAAAAATCACGTTTTATGCATGAAACTTTGATATACCATTTTATAATTATTTATTTAGAAAATTATATCATATTAATCATATCAATTATATCAATTATATTATACGGAACATAGATATACGAATGTACATCTATTTCGATTCGATAATTCGTTCTACGAATCAATCGTAGATATTTAATTTTTCATTGCACCGATTGAATTTATGCGAATCACATAAATTATCATTTTCCATTTGTTTTCATTATCTTTTCTTTAAATTTTTTATTCAACAACAATATTCAGTCAAAATATTTTGTCGAAATATCACTGAAAAAAATGAAAAAGTATCTAATTAATATAATACTTATTTAAAAAAACATATCATCAAGCGATGTTAATGTATCAAAATTTTACGTAACGCAGATCTGTAGTTTAAAAAAAAATTGCGATTATCATAATATTTGCCAATGAGATTATCATAATAGCAACTATGAGCACAACATAATGATAAATTAACATAATGATAAATTATTATTCCAAAAACGGACGGAATACAAAATTCTTCTAAATTATTTAAAGTTAAACAAAATTCTTCTTTCATTCCATTTTCAAATCAATTTTACTTTCGCATCTTATCATTTCTATTATTTCAAAAAAAACAAAAAACAAAGAAATCCATCATATGAATAATCCTTATTCTTTGTCTCGATAATGTTTTTTAACAAATTCTTGATGATAAATAATCGACGGATTGTCGATTATTGCACAAACGATAGCCATTAAAAAAAAGATAAGACTAAAAAAAAAAAGCGAATTTGACAAAACAATGACTAATTCCTTGATTTTCATGTATGCTACAGATATCAACAAGATAATTATACGATGACTGTTTTCTTCCTTATGTGGTCATTATGTTTGGATTCTTGAAGCCTATATCTATTACTCGGAAAGGTCAAAATAGGCAGACAGCGTCTCTGATGGAATTACATAATTTTATTTTGTCTAGCGTGACGCGATAAATCCACAAAATTTCTGAAAATTGACGAATATCGGCACCGTGTTTGACGACTCTTTGACATCCATCAATTGCGAAATTCTAAGGAAGAACAATTTGACATTGATTGGAATATTATTCGTCACATTCTAATATTTTTTGTCTTTTATCTCAAATTTAAAATTTAGTTTTTTCTTTTTAGAACGAGAATATAATAATAACACTCTTTACTATCGATTAACGCTCTTTGATTTAACTTCAATGCATGAAAAGAAATTAAAAAAAAATGTATGCTTACCTCATTCGCAATCCAATACGAATTTTTTATTTCATGTTTTTTTATCCAGAGTCGGTAAATCACTAATCCTCAATGCATCACGATGACAGATTAATTATGTTTAACAAATTTAAGGAATAGTAATGTCATTTTTTGCATGCAGTCTAATTTTTTCGCTCGCTATTTCGATAATGAGTACATGATGAAAAAAGCCGAAGATAAGAGAAGTCGCCGGAACCTCTAATCAATGGACCAACGTCCACTCAAGATTGCACGCTAGAAAATTAGAAAATGACCGGGTCCGGGTAGGATTTTTCAAACATCGAACTGGTAACCATGCGAGCATCGCGTGAATACAAACTGTGAATAGATGCTTCGCGGTTTTCAATCCTATGTATAGTAACCCATACGTTTTTCCCGTATCATCTACCCAGTCTTTTGCTCGTATTACGTCAGAAATCAATAAAACGTTGCATAAGATTTATATTCATCAATGTTCATGATATTCACCTGAAAATCGAGTATAATTGTGCGTTAAAATATTTCCTTGTTTTATTTTTATTTTTTTTTTTCCTTTGCTTTAAATAACGTAATAATCAATCAATGTACAATACACTCTCGATAATGATAAAATATATTTTCAATCAGATTGTTTTTTTTTTTATTTCGGATATTCATTAGTTTATTAATATTAAAGAATCACGATAAAAGTGAGCGTATTGCACTTGGAAAGCTTCTAGCATGGTCTACCCGCATGTTAAGCTTATTCAAGGAAAAAAAACAAAGCGGCTGCGTGATTCTCTTTTGACGATAGAATTGAACTAGTTTCTTAAATGATTTTAGATAATGCTGACATTATTCTATTTAGGATGACACTGATATGAATATTTACATCGAAACATTTCAATAAAATTTCAAAAAAATTTCTTGCGAACTTTGTCTGGTTAAAAACTACACTGATACACTAATATAAGTAAATTTGCTCGTCACGAATCAATCCATGGCTTTCACTCATGAGAACACGTGCTAAGTTGAATCGTTTTCATCACTATCACGTGTTATAGTTTCGAATCACGTTTTCGTCTCGATGAAACAGTTAAAATTTTTTTATCATTGATATAATTTCGTTATTCGATTAAATCACGTGGCTGTTTCACGTTTTTTTCCTATTCAGAGAAACCTCAAAAGAGTCCTACCTTTCCTATGTACATGTAACAATATAGCAATCTGTCTACGGTAAATCTCCTAAAAGCGTATCTAAAAATCCAAAATCGCATCGGTATCTCATCGATCATCGAGGGTATTCGTATATACTATAATCTATTCTCTCACCCTGACATACCTATACTAACCTCTCTCTCTCTCGAGGTCGTAGGATCCAGGTAATTTCGAAACATCATGAGGAAGCCTCATGTCAAAATATACGTGACTGTTCTCGCGTTTCCGTTAATTGGCCCTTTGCTTCCTTCGCAGCTGCGTTACCAGTACCTCGTAGACGTGTGCCAATTGGTCGGAGCACCCTTGAAACTCGAGCGAATAACCAATCGACTGGTCGGTATCGAAACGCTCCTAGGAAACGTGAGGTCGCCACTCGTGCCAGCTTTAACGTGCCGCTTCGACAGTTAACCACAGTCGTTGTTTGTGTTTTGTCGCAGACGAACGAAGAGACTGATCGTGAGTTCGGTCAATGTCTATCTTCTGACAAAGAGATTTGCGTGTTATCGAAATTCGAATTACTCTTTGTCGATCTCTCGAGTGATAATTGAGATTTATCAAATAATGTATACATTTCGCGAATTTCCCATCATTTTTAATCTTTATAAGAAATATAGTTAAACGATTTTGAACAAGGTATAAGAGGTAAACGGAGTTGATTGTATGAATATTGACAACGGTACGAGCGTTTAATTCAGTGAAGCGTGCATGCCGGCCACAATAACTGAGGTGAGTCAATAAAGTCGCAGAATTTTTTAACGAGCATTCAATTTAATTCCATTCGATTCCCTTGACCGGGCGCAACGATAATTCGAGCGATCAATTAGTCTCATGGCCAGTCGGCAATCGCACTGCTTCCGCTGTATCTAATTAGATACATAGGTCCGTGATGCGGTAATACTATGTAAAGGATCAATTTACGAGATTTTTTTACTCTCTTTGTTTACTTCGTCGTATCAGTTAACTTCGTAACATCATGATCAACCGTCAAGAAAATTTAAATTATGTATAACGTATCGAATTTGATAAACTCATTCACCGGTGATCATACATTCAAGGTTACATTGTGATAATGTGATTTAATTTATCATTAATGTGAAACTTTTGCGTTAGTTTTAAACAATTTTTGTTAACGATTAAACATTTGTAAAGATTCCTCTTGCTTTCGTCAATTCTACATCTACGAAACATTTAATAATTTGCGTGGTCAGAGTAATAATGATCAGGGGTGGGAGGTGGATAAGCGCGCTTGGAGAGTATATTATGATCAAGTGACAGTTCGCCAGCATATCATAACGTTCATATCGTTGAAAACTCGTGCATCGTTCGGCTACAGTGTATGTTATTTTTCGCGCCTTTCCATTTTGAGATTTCAACTGATCGGTCCAAGTTAGTTTGGCAGGGCATTAAGAGCAAAATAAACGATTCGATTGGTTACGATATTGTGGAAAGATTTTCTAAAAAAGCACTGTAAATTTTAATCTCGGGTCGTGAGGGCTATCACGTCGCATTTCTCTTTTTCTTTTCACTCAATGCTTCGTATAACGTGAAAAGTCGAAGATTTGTTCAGTGTTGATCGAAACGTATTTTCGTCTCGAATGAATTCAGTTGTCCAAGAAAAGAGGTATTTGTCAATTGAATCTTTCATTCGCAAAATCAAATATTTTCTGACAAAAATTGTATTTATATCTTCTATAAGGAATAAATGAAATGATGATAAAATTATTTTTTTTTTTCAGAGGAAAGCAATCGTAATCAAGTGTAACTGGTAAGATACTCGTTACATCGAAGAGTTTAAGGAAGAATATCCGGAGTATATACGATCATTGTTTCAAATACAATAAGCAGTATGACTAAAGTATCGGGAATGGTCGAGACAGAGGACGTTGTCGGGAAACCGACTTTTGTTCGACGTGTGTCCAATATGTTAAAAGGTAAGAAATCTTCGTTTTATCGATAATTGAAAATAAAGGAGATAAAATGAAATTATATCTTTTAATTATTGATCGATTATTTTCTATAAATTATTAATCGATTACCATTTTTTTTTTCACAGATGGAAGTTACAGCGAACCACCGATGCTATTTCGTCACGCTTCTATGCAGAAAATTCGCCACTGTTGTCAAAATTTGAATTTATTGCCTTATCTGCTATATTCCTTCGATAACTCGAAGTCGCACCCAATCGCCCGTAAAGTACATAATTGTCTCGGCCAGTTTCTTCAAGTAATCACAGCGAGGATCTTTTTGCTATACAAAAGTTTTCGGCGATCATTGCTCTGCGGTATTCGTTCAAGCGAATTTCAAGCATCCGAGCCACCAAAAACCCCCGAACCTTGCAAATTTTCAGCGAGATTCCAAACTACAAGGCAATTGAAACGCAAACAAAATAATCGGCTGATCTTGACCCTAGGCGTGTACTTTGCCCCTTTGTTTTTGTTCTCACAGCTGATCGGACTATTCTGTCTGATGATATTTGGAAAATATACGCCTGGTTTCATTTTCCTAATATCGGCCCTATTGTTTCTCGCCTACATCTCGTTCAAAGTTCTCTTTCACGATGCCGAATCGACGAGACCGTCTAGACGTAGATATCGCAAGATAATTAAAGCGGAATGATTGTATCTTGTGCCCGCTTCTAATCTAAACTATTACTATATGATCAGACTGTCCATTGGATAGATAATAGACCTGAGAGTATTGAGTCTTTGCCTAATTTACCGTTCTCCATTTTCGTATTTGATTATACTTAAGCGATGCGATACCAGGTAGGGCTTTACTTATTACGTGGTCTTGTATACCGTATGAATCAATTTCGTCCATATTCATTCATACTCGTCTCTCTTTTTCTAATATATGTACATGATAATCATGTTTTCATTATCGAAAGTTTCGTAGTTACTTTAGGATCACTTTAGGATCATCGATCGATCCCGTCGGTTCGGAAATTTCATAATCTTTTTTTTTTTCTTTCGTACTTCGTCATTTATCGGACTGATACACGT